CCTCCCACGACTAGAGAGAGTCTGTCAAGGATACTTGTGTGTCAAAAAATCAGTTTTTTCATTTCAAATTCAGGAGAAAATTTTTAATTTTCAAAATTAAATCAACATATTTTACAAATTTTAGTAAAAATGTTTCATAGACAGTCAAACCAATCTGACTATAAGAACAGTAAATTTTATCAGCCGCATTTTTATTTACAAAACTGGTAAATAATAGAATGCTATTCTATGCTTTCCAAAATGTCATTAGAATAGAATGTATATCTTATACCATTACCCTGACCACATTTTGTTCAACATAACCACAATAATACTAATTTACATCCTCTGGTCTCTTTTCTTTTGGATCATTCCATATAACTGCATCCTTTGCTATTCTATTACAATTCAAAGGTGTTTCACTTAGTTCTGTTCTGTCGATTCCAAGTAGTCTTTTATTTTTTGAAAACTTTCTCTCCATATCTGACTTACCATGTGGAAGTATTAATGCTGCTTTGACTAACTTTTCAAGTATAGGGAACTTGAGCTTGTTGTCAGTTGTTTTAATAGAGAATACTTACCTCTGGTAATGGTCAACTCTTTCAAGAGACTTGTCACATTTTAATTGTTCTGTCTAAAACAGTTTCAATTCATTCATTGCTGTAGCTACCTGATTTGAGACTATATTATGTGTAGCTCTGGCAATAACACAGGAGTCGTTAACTGAACTTTAAAGGGTCTTTTACTATGGATGGAAACATTTGAATCTTTTGATAATTATATCTTTAAAGGAATATTGTGGTAGGTGCATAACAACAGATGAAAAAAATGTTCTCCTGCCTGGGATCTAAAGTTTTTGTTTCAAAGAAGATAAAGCTTTGACTACAGAAATATAATGAAAAGTTGCTCATTGACTCCATAATGAAACTAAATTTTAGAAAAGCTTCATCTTGCTGATAATAATTTAAGAAATGAATGAAGATCAATGGCAAACTTTTGAACAGCATTACAATAATCTTTAGCAGCTTTTCCAAATGAATTGTGAATTGGAAGAACAGCATTACAATAATCTTTAGTAGCTTTTCCAAATGAATTGTGAATTGGAAATGCCAGTGGAGGATCAAACAAATATAGAAAGACAGGGAAATTGGTAGAGAGATGCGATTGACAGGGATATATTAAAGGTTGATGCCACTAATCTATGGAGAAGAAAGACTCAAGAAGCTGACACCATATCACAATGGTATTAAGGTTGAAAAAGAAGAAGACAGGTTACATGTACCTATGTTAGCCAATACTTTTATTAATTTTTCTCTTTACACCTATGGTTACATTTAGACCATCAATGTCAAGAGCCACCAAATTCTTCATATTGAAGCCATCATTATCTGAAGTCTTCTCAAATTTGAACCAATAATTTCTGATGATTCTTCTCTAAGACAAAATGTTCTGTAAAAATCTAGTAGCTATTTCAATGCGGAAGAGTGAAAAATGTCTCTTGAAGATCTGGTTGCCTTCTATCACATGCTGTAGTCACTTGCTTCATTACAGAGAAGTTCAAGTGGAGACAAAGACTTCTTGACATCATTCACCAACTGATTATGGAGTGCTGGTCATATTTGATCTGTCAATAAGTAGGATATTTTTGTACTAGACATAGAAAATCTCTATACTATAACTGATTCTGGAGACATTGCTTTGAAAGTCCAAGATAATGAGTCACGTGATCTGTATTAATTGTTTTATGAAGCTATTTGTAAAGATCATATTACTTCTGCTTTTACAACCTCATTTACTGGAAATTTATATGTAAGTTCAGAAGGGTTTCCCAAGATGTTTAAAGATGATACTTAACCACTTGACAAAGTTGCTAATGCTTTTTAATTTTATGTTGCTTTAAAGACGGGTACTCCTTGTAGTGTTGATTCACCACTACTTGTCACATTTTAGGTTACTAACTGTGCAAACAATCAGTCCAACACTAATATAGAGGATCCTTGTTTACACCATTTATTCATCAGTGTTCTGTTGCTATCTTGTTTTTTGTTTTGTTTTTTCATGACTTTTCACACACGTATATATATATGTATATATGACTTTAGAAACCAATCTCAAATTAAGAAGAAAATAATTCTAAAATTTTATATATGCAATGATATGTGATTACAGGAAAAATAAATTTGCACCAAGCAGCTTCTGTTTACACTATTCTACTAAAATTCTGGAATATAAAATGTAACTGTAAGCATATTGGAAAAATTATTATGAATTTTCCCATAAAGTGGCTTAACAGCAACTCTTTACAGATACCATAATACAAAGGTAGATATTGACCTGTAAAGCTGCTGATGAGAAAATCACTTTATGTCTCATTGACTGAAACTGCATCATAAGTATCAGGAAGTTTGGGTCAATAATTAGGAAAAAATCAGTAGGTGCTTGACAGACTGCATAAGTATGAATATAAAATTGGGATATTTTCAAACATATAAATGTATTATGTTATTATTGAATTGCTTTTGTTACTATATAGAAATTAAAAATTTTGAGTTTAGTAATACCTTGTCTCAGATCTGAACTTGGGTTTTGGGGAATGCCCCTCCATGATCATTACCAGTATCTGAGCCAAAGCAAATACTGATGTTGCTTAGGGAGTTTAGTATTATGAAAATATATATAAGCCACATTCACCAGAATACTTAGTGTTACTACATAAGTTTCTTTGTGTATTTTTGGAATAATTAGTGAGAAAAGGTTGATAGAGATAGAAAAATGGATTATACTTTGCCCTCTGTACTGTTACACTACACTGTGAGTCATCAAATTTGTGAAGTGATTTTTAGTGTTGAAGTCACAATGGTTTTAAGGTAACTCACTGCTTTTGTTGAAGCCTGTTAAATACGTATTGATTGTTGATAATTCAGGAAGTACCTTCTAATACTTATCTGAGCTTAAAATATTTTTTATTATTATACAAGTTGTTGTGTATTTGTGCTATGCTTACAAATTTGCTAAACTAACCTTAAAGGGGCACTAATTAACCCTGTGGTAAAGCCCTGGATTTCAAAGCTCTTAAGCTGGTTTCACATCCATGCAGTACCACAAAATATTCTCTGAACTTTAAGCTGTATGTGCAATACAAGAGTAACAGTCAATCTCTTAGCATGGACAGTGGGTGTTAGTATGCTGCTGAGTAGCTGCCTTCCCTCTGGTCAGTAGTTCAAAATTAGGGACAGTGGCTTTACCATAAATAGAAAATAAGATTCGAATGACCTTGACTAACCATATCCAAAATTATTATAAAAAATATTCTGTCAGTTAACCTAAAACATATTATTCCACATTAAAAATCAAGACCACCTGAGAACTAGTTTCAAGTCTGTCAGCTGTCTTAGTTCAGCCAAGTGTTAAACATGAATAAGATTAATTTCCGTAAATCTTGCAAATTCAATTACTCAGTATGTCCTATATGTTCAATAGCATCTCTTTTGATTTTATAAAGCTTAACAAAGTTATGAATACCCACAAAAGTTTTCTTCATTATAGGTTTGAACAATGTTGGTTGTGCATACATGCATTTAATTATGGTTATGTATCTTTATATAGTTCAAATAGATGATTGAAGGGTATGATTGGTAGCTCCAGATGAGTGTTTTGTAAAAAGGCAGCTAGAACATACCAAATCCCAGACTAAACCTCTGGATCTCTGGATGTTTCCCAGAATTCTTTAAAAATAATTTCTGAAAAAAATATTTTAGAAAAGTGATTGTAAGATTATATTTGTTTATTTATTTTTAAGTTGTATACATATCTTTATTTGTAGAAAATACAGAGGTTTTTAACACTCATTATGTAACTTATTTTTATTAAGCATATTTTCGGACTGGCTAATGAAAAAATGTAGTTCCTGACATTTCTTTTTTTTTTCATCATTAAAGTCAAAGTCATTAAACAAAACAATACATGACAATCAATGATAAGATTGTGTTCTTAAGCTTTTGCCACCATTTTTAGAAAATAAATATATGTTTCCTATACTGTCTAATAAGAAGGAAATATTATTACTAGATGATAAAAAAAAATTAAGAGTCAAAATTGATGCAGGTAAAGAAAGATATGATACAGTCTACAGTAATAACATTGAGTCTTAGAAAAGTTTCAAAAAAAAAACTACAAAGCTACGAAATGTTTAGAATACAGTCTGAAGAAAATAGCCAGGAAAACGAAAAAGGTATTTTATGATTAAGAAACACTTGACTAGATTGTATGGAACTTGTGTGTGTTTTTAAGAAATTGGAGAGGGGATGACTGTGGAGTTTGTTTGTTTGTCGTAGTTTGAAGCTAGCTACGTGATAGATTATCTGCATTTTGTACATTGCAGGGAGTTGAAGCCCAAATTTTAGCATCATAATATCGTAAACTTACCACTAACCCATTGAGGGAACTATTTTACAAGAAACAAATGGAAACAAACATTGCATAGTTAAGATTTCTTGGCTCTGTCTCACACTGAAATATATTTGAAACACTTTGTACGTTTATTTTTATTGATTTCAATTTTTCAGTTAAAAAATGTGAAGAGTCGTTTATAAATCTTGGTGTGAGAATATCTATAACCTGCTGCTTAGTTTGATAACAGGCAGATAATTGTAAAGTAACCAAAGAAAGAAGTGAGATTTGATTTTTGTGATATACTTTATTGTATTTCTTCAATATAATACTGAATGATATTTTATACTTTACACAAGTATCTGTAACGTATCCTCATTTAAGTTTTGACGTTCATGATATTTATTATTGCATAATACTGTTATGTAACGATTTTATGACTGTCCATGGTCAAGGTAAAGAAGAGCTTTTTTCAAGGTTGTGAATTTGAATTTTGTGTATTGATGTAAAATAGATGAAAGAAAACTGTTGTGAAAAGTTCATGTTGTTTATTGGTATATGGAAATTGCATTCCCAATATTTCTCTTAATTTCTGCCTTGACAGTAATAAACCTAAAGATGAGTTCTGTGTATGATGTCATTATTTCTTGGCAACGCTAATTCAAAAACAAACAAAAGTTACTATTATCTTTGTTAACTAAACTGCTTGAAATTTATACCACTGCTGTAATGGAGCCATGATAACACATTATTATAGAAACACAGAATGTGATAAAACATTATTATAAAAACACATGATAAAAAAAAACCCACCGAGGTATGATAAAACCTTTAGTTAATTTGCTACATAAAAAACACATTATCTTTAATCCATATATAGTGTACAAAAAATTGGTAGCAACGTAAGAAGGAACTTTTTATATTATATAATGTGAGCGGACATGCCCGCTTACTGGTTTTATTTGTGAAAATTTTATCTTTCCTTTTTAAAAAAAAAGTTCCAAACATATTTCTGGAGTAAGAACAGTTACTGATTTATATTTTTTTATTACTTTAGTAATGTAAAGACTATTCGGTATTTGTATAGTATGAAGTTATCAAGTATTTAATAATATATATTACATTACGTAATATAAAATTTCTGTGCTGTTACTTCACAATTAGAATAGTGGGTTTGTAAATGTGATCTTTACTCGGACAAATCCAAAAATATTTTATAGTTCTAAGAAAAAGTATGTAAGTGAAAAAGAAATCAAGTTTAATATTGTATTTCAATTTAATGGAAAATTAACCAAATCCGCTTTTAAAATTATTAGCATAAATGAGAATCATTGCTCTGATTTATGTTTTCATTGAATTCACATATAAAAGTAAATAATTCATGAATGTCCAATATTATTTTCACTTACATGTGTTAATGGTTTAATACTAATTTTTCAGTTCAGAAAAAACTTATTTTGCCACCTGGAGACTCAGCGGTATGTCCGTGAGCTTATGGAATTAAAAATCGGGTTTAGATACCCGTGGTAAGCAGAGCACAGATGGCCCATTGTGTAGCTTTGTGCTTTACTACAAACAGTTTATTTATTTTGTTTTAGAATGTTTCCATATATCTTAGTCACATCCAGAAATAATTTTATAATACACGTAACGTTGTGTCAATCAATACTTGATAGAACACTTGAATGGTATTCTGTACAAATCTTGTTTGTCAATACAGTAAACGGCACACTTTCAGTCATCAGACTCCAGAAGAATTCGAATTCCGTCACCGAACATGCTCGACCTTTCAGTCGTGGGGAGTGGGAGTATAATGTGATAGGCAATCCCA